TCTGCGGGAAGCGTGAGGGGTTGTCACGAACCATGTCCTGTCACCAGTCAATGTAATCGTGGATGTCGGCGTTTTCCCCCCACGCTGCGAACACGAAGGCCCATCTCACGCCGTCAAGGGCGTCCAACATTGTGAGGAGTCTTTGCGGCTCAGGAACTGTCTTGGCGACCTTCTCGAACGTACCGTCCTCCTTTGCGAACATCTTGACGGATGGGTCGTCTCTATTCTTCAACGACCAGGGATTCACCTGGTGACTAGGGGTAAAGTGGCGGGCGGCCAGGAGCTCTCCTAGCTGGACGGGCGTGAATGATAAGTTCTTCTTCTCAGAGACCATCCGGGCGAGGATGTCATCTGCGCCTGCGATGAGGTGCACGGGAAATTTGCGAGGCCTGTTGTCAACCACGACCGCTTCGTAGTCGCGGATGAAGTCCTTCCAATAGCCTTTCGGCAGCTTCTTGTCCTCAGCAGCGGTCGTCGAACTGGAGCCGGTCGTCGCAGTCTGCGCGACAGTCGGTGACTGCGTAGACGGAGTCCTGGATTGCTCAATCAAGTCCCACATCTCCAACAACGTAGCCTGGTCAACCAAGAGCTCGTCCTCAGTGCGTCTATGGGTCGTCCCCCCAATCTCCACACCAGCCCTCAGCGGCTCAAGAAACTTGGCGACCCGGGTCTTGTCGGTGAAGTGGTGGTAGAACACTCCGGGGGCTACAATGCCGCGCTCCTGCAACAGCACGAACACCGACTTGTTCACTGCAGCGGAGGTGGCAAAGTCCTGGAACGAAGGCGACGACGTGGCAGGGGGCATGGTTACGCCGCTGTCAGTCCTCAGACGATGAGGATGACGAACCTTCAGGCTCCTGAACTGCGGGCACTGCTGGGCTCGGAGCCTGTGCTGCGGCCAAAGACTGTTCCTCGGGGAAACACAGGGGGCACAACTTAAACCCTGGCCGCAAAGTAGGGTTACGCAGACAGCTAGCTTGACCGTACCGCCACCGCCCGCAGCTTGAGACCCACTGCTCCGAAGGCGCGGCCCCCTCCCCCACGCAAAGCTTGTGAGCGAACTTAGAGCGAACATTATGCACCAGGACCCCTTGACCTCGAAGGCACTCAGCCGCAACTGCCCGAATCTGGCCCAGTGCCAGAGGCCCGGGTCGTCCCCCCCCAGTACCGCCTTGAACTGGGCCTTGTAGTGAAGTCCTGGACTGCACGGCGTCCGCTGCCCGGCCAGGCTCAGCCAAGGCCGCCTCCTGAATGTAACGGAAGACGGCTGCGCTCCCCCACCTGCCAAGCAGAAACATCCAGGCCGGACCGAGCGAACATCTGCGAGCCTGCCACACGAAACGTGTGCTGGGCCCAACGACGCAGGATCTAAGAGGAGGCCACTCATGCATGTCAGCTTTGCATAAGACCCAGGCTGCGGCCCGAGCCAAGAACACCACCTGCTGCTTGCTCGGCATCTCGTCCGTTCCACGGCCCAAAAAAACCGTTGTGGGGGACCACGCACCTTGCCTTCTGAGCGAAATTGAAACGCGAAGGGCTGCATGGTATGCGCACAGCGGGTGGCGACCGGAGTCACACGAACATTGCTGAGCCGGGGTGAACAGCAAGTGCGTGTCACTCTGAACTGGGCAGGTCGGGCTGTGTTGCCGCGAACAAATGCACATGTGCGACCTGTGACAACCTCTGGCAGTCGGGTCTGTCTTGGAGATCGGGAGGTAGAGCTTGACCTCGCCTGCACGAGTGAAGGACACGTGCTCACACCGCAGGTTGGCCATTTCGACCCCACGCAGCAAGAACCACGACGCCACAATGACTGCGTCTCCAGGGAACCACAACCGCTGGTCCTGAGGCACTCGGAGAGCAACGAACGCGGCCTCCATCTCGCACGAAAAGGCCCGGCCCATCCTCTCCAGCGGAATGTCCAGCTTGGCTGAACTCGGGCCAATGCCTCGATTGATGGACCGGAGTGCCTGGGAGACGGCGTACCCCGCCTGCTTATGGTAGCCCTTGGCGACGGAGTAGTACTGAGCTGCACTGCGGTATCGAGCGGCCTTGAAGAGCGCTCCCACCTTATCAACCAGCTCTGTCGTGGGGAGTCCCCGCTGACCCGCCATGCTGCACCACACGCGCCACCGGCTCTCGCGGGGACCACGAGACGATGCTGCGAACTTATCTTGAGCGAACTCGGCATCAGCCTGGGCCAAGGAAGCCGCCGAACTAGCGGCACCGGACACAAGCGCCTGCGAGCCCCGAGCATATGGGTGCACCACAGGAACGTCCGGGCGATTGCGGTTTCCTCGAGCGAATCTCGGGCAAAAGAGGGCATCGACCACATCGTCTCCGACCCACTTCCGCAAATCGGTCTTTGAAGCTTGCTCGAGTTGCCGTGCCGAGCGCACGCCCTGAGCCCGAAGGCTGCCCACTGCCGCGAAGGCCCCCACTGACTGAAGAACATGGACCAAACTCGCGAACGAGTCACGATCATGTGGGCACTCAAAGTGCAACATGCGCTAAACCCTCCTAGCAAAACACACGAAACTAAGGCTCGAACCTGAGGGTTGGCAGAAGCGGCGCAAGCCCGTAACACAGCTCTGCGAACAACAACACACACTGGGACTGGCAAGTACATGCACACATGCAACAAGCGAACAACTGCAAGCTCTCACTCCTCGTGCCGACTGCCCAGCGAACCTAATCTACGACAGAATGTTCTGCGCGTGCCCGTAGGCGCCCACTTGCACGCTTTGTGCTTCTTAGGCGAACTGCTGCTCGAGTCCCTATAACTGCGTCTGGCCCACAACGGCCTCTGCCCGGGCCTCCGGCCACCGAACTTAACCCTGCCTCCTGCGCTAACTGCGAGCCTCAAAATCGCAACGAGGAGGAAGTCACCGTCGCTGAACAAACTGCCACACTGTTCCCAGCCTGGCCAGGCGTACTCCCTTTGTCCGCGGTTGCCGAAGGAGAGGTTGTGGAAGCGGGAGTAGGAGTCGAAGGAGGTCCCCCACCGCCGCCCATCCGCGCCGTCCCGCTACTGGAAGGCCTTGAGATATGTGCACTGGGCTGTACCACTGGCGTCATACACGAACCGACCCCCAAAGCAGCGACGGCGTCCTCAGCACTGCCAATGCGAACATTTGCTGACGTGCCGGAACAGTGGGCAGGGCTTGCGGCCGGCTGGTCGGCGCTCACAACCACACTCGTGGCCGAGGGAACAGCAGGAGGGTACTTCATCGGTGGCGCCCCCTTCAGTGTCAAGGGCTTCACGACCGTAGGGTTCTTCACGGGAACTTGTGGAGCAGCTGGCGGCGAGGTTGAAGTAGTCGGCTGCGAACCTGCCTTCTTGGGCGGTGGCGCCGCATTCGGCCCATCAGGACCGCTGGGCTTGCTCATGCCGGCCTTTGTAGGTGGCGGACCGGTCTTCCCCGGCAGCAGTTTAAGCCCAGGCGCCGGTGCATCCATTGCCGAGGCGCTCACAGGCACTGATTGCGAACCGGGCGTCGGGACCTGTGCTGAACCTGGCGCTCCCACAGGCACTGATTGCGAACCATCCGCGGCCTTCGGACCAGCGAGAGCAGGAGGCCCATCGTCGCCCTGCTCGACTTCACTGTCACTGCATACAGGCGAACGGGGCAAGGCTACCTCCACTAACAGCAGCGAGGCACGCGCCAGGCGGTGCTGGGGCTGAAACCATATGGCCTCACTCAGCAGGACCTCTTCGCTCGCTGCGGCCAGCTTTGCCAGTGCATCGCGAACAGCGGCCCTGGACACCGAGGAACTCGCTGAGGAAGCAGAGGCCATAGCTGCAGCTCGAAAGCTTCAAAAACGAACTAAGCATCTGGGACTCGAGGCAAACGCTTGCTAGCGTTCATAGCCGAACGTTCAAATGTACTGCTACACTCGACTTGTCATTATGAACACACGTGTTCAACACAACAAGTAGAAGTACTTGCAGAAGTAGTAGCAATAGCAGTAGTGGTAGTAGTAGTAGTAGTAGAAGAAGTAGTAGTAGTAGTAGTAGTAGCAGTAGCAGTAGTAGCAGTAGCAGTAGAAGTAGAAGTAGTAGTAGTAGTAGTAGTAGTAGTAGTAGTAGTAGTAGTAGTAGTAGTCGTAGTAGCAGTAGTAGCAGTAGCAGTAGAAGTAGTAGTAGTAGTAGTAGTAGTAGTAGTAGTAGTAGTAGTAGTAGTAGTAGTAGTAGTAGTAGTAGTAGAAGCAGTAGTAGCAGTAGTAGTAGCCGTAGCTTTCGTAGTAGTAGTAGTAGTAGTAGTAGTAGTAGTAGTAGTAGTAGTAGTAGTAGCAGTAGCAGTAGCAGTAGCAGTAGCAGTATCAGTAGTAGTAGCAGTAGAAGTAGCAGCAGCAGCAGCAGCAGTAGTAGTGGTAGTAGTAGTAGTAGTAGTAGTAGTAGTAGTAGTAGTAGTGGTGGTACTAGTACTAGTACTAGTATTCGTACTAGTACTAGTACTACTAGTAAAGGTACTAGTACTAGCAGTAGTACCAGTACTAGCACTAGTACTAGTAGTAGTACAAGTACTAGTAGTAGTAGTAGTAGTAGTAGTACAAGTACTAGTAGTAGCACAAGTACTAGTGGAAGTACTAGTAGAAGTACTAGAAGTACTAGTAGTAGTAGTAGTCGTAGTAGTAGTAGTAGTAGTAGCAGTAGTAGTAGTAGTAGTAGTAGTAGTAGTAGTTGTCGTCGTAGTAGTAATAGTAGTAGTAGCAGTAGCAGTAGCAGTAGCAGTCGTAGTCGTCGTCAGTCGTCGTCGTCGTTCGTCGTAGTAGAAGTAGTAGTAGTAGTAGTAGTAGTAGTAGTAGTAGTAGTAGCAGTAGTCATCTCCGACGTAGAAGTCGTCTCCGTCGTCGTAGTAGTGGTCGTCGTCGTGGTAGTAGTAGTAAGTAGTAGTTGTAGTAGGAATAAGTAGTAGTTGTAGTAGTAGCAGTAGTAGTAGTAGTAGAAGTTGCTGTGTCTTGACTGTTTGCACATGTTTGAACGGAAAATCGCCGTCCGGAAGACGCCCAGTTGCAGCAGTCGCCCCCTCAGAGGGCGACTGAGCCTGAGGTGGCTCTGGGCATGGGCAAACACCCACCACAGAAGTGTCGAGCGGCTAAGGCCCCCACATCGATGCGCCCGAAGTGTGTGACGATGTCAGGTCCTCCCATGACCTCACGCGATCATGCCACTCAATGCAAGCTTTTGTAAGCAGTGCTAGGGCACCTTGATGGCCACGTTCGCTGCGAGCGTCCAGAGGTCTGCATGGGAGATGAGCTTCGGCACGTACCTTCTCATCAAGTCAATATCGGGGCAAGGAGAGGAGCGTGGCTTCAAGAAGCATGAAAAGAGGTGGTGTTGCCATCTGGTGCCCCCCTTTCAACATGTGGGATCACTTGTCACTGATGGCCTGTAGAAGCGGGATTGCCACCTGGGGCCTGAGTTTCTACCACTAGGCAAAGTGGCGAGTGCAAGTAAAACCCACCGACACGACATGAAATGGCTCTTGAGGGCGCTGCAACCCAGCATTTGCACCGAAAGCATGCTCGCCCCCACCTCAGCCATTGTAGCAACTACATCATGCAACTCAACTATACGGGATCTCTCCGAGGATCGGCCAGCAAGACGCATTGCGGCATTCGGGCAACCATCAGAACCTTCACTGCAAAGCATGTGCGAGACCTGGACCTGCACATACGAATACGTTGAAGGCGGAAGCGAGCGAGCGGCACCATTGAAAACGCCGGCATCGTGCCAGGACAAACGGATCCTTTTGCTGCTTGGTTTGCTACACAAGCCACAAGCCAGTTCGTAGCAGTCAAGAGAAGCTGAAAGTGCGAAATAAGGTTCGGACATGATTGGTCCACATCCCTTCACGAGCATCAACTTCTCCAAGTCGGCAACCTTTGTGCTGACAGTGACACTGCTTGTTCTGTGTAACGTGATTTTTCGTGTGCGCATGTAACATGGCTATTAAAGTGAGTGAGTTGTGACCCATGGCGGGGGGGAGTGGCTGCAACCTCGCGTCAAGAGTCAAGCCTCTAAGATCCTTCAAGCCTCTTTTCCGTGGAAGCCTCTTTTTTGTCCACGCCTCTTTCAGCCTCTTTAAGCCACTACTCTGGAGAAGCTATTTTTTATTGATGCCTCTTTGCGCCTCTGAGCCTCTTTTTGTCCATTTGAATCTCGGCCAAGCCTCCTTAAGCCTCTATACGATTAAGCCTCCAAAAGCCGCCATAAGCTCTTATGTTTAAATCCGTTTCAAGATGCTCAAAGGGGCTTTAAAAGGCGCGCATGGGTGCGAAAAGACGCTTAAAGGCGCGTAAAGGCATTAATAGGCTTCGAGGCGCCAAACGCTGCTCATAGGTGCCATATTTAGCCCCCCGTAAGGTGCTTAAAGGCGCTTAGGCTTAAGCGCTCAAAGGCGCTTAAAATGGTGCTTGGCTCAAAATTCCACGAAGGCAGCATGCAGCGCTTATTGGGCAGAATTAAATGCGGGGTCCTGCAAATAAGCGCTTAAGGCTGAAAGGCGCCTGGCTCGAAAATTTGGCAGCCCGCCTCATGCCTGCCGCCTTCCACAAGGTTTTGACCAGCAATGGGACTTTGGGGGGGGGGGGGGGGGGGAGGGGAGGGGGGGCTCAAAGACACATCTCAAGCTTCTCGAAGAGGCGTGCCAGCGCGTGGAAGCATCTCCAAGCACAGAGGCTCCGCCGCTTGGTTGTGCTTGCAAACTTTGAAGCGCATGGTCACATGTTGTCAACAAGTTGCAGGACGAAGGCAGACGAGACATGCGAGCCAAGTTTCGGACCAAATGTCCATACGTTAGACACTTGCAGATTGTCAACCTGACCGGCGAAGCAGATTGCCAACCGCAATAAGCCGACAATCCTCAGATGGAAGTCCTTTGGCCCGGGCTCTAAGGTTTGGTCTGATTTGCATTTCTCAAGCATCAGCGCGACATTGCCTGAAGGCATGGGTTCCAGGCCATGCGTTCATCAACGCGGCATCGCCTGCCTTTGATGCCGTTGACTTCGGTGATGCTGTCCTTATGACTAGACTCGGCATGCCTGCAGCTGTCTGGGCACATGTGTCTTTGCTGAGGCACAAGCGCCTGTATTCATTTTCTTTTCGGGGTGCTGCTTGTTCCACATCCTTGCTGGAGACTGCTGTCTGATGTGCGCGTGTGCTCACAACAGTGCACAACAGGTTTTGTAAGGCATCAGCTCGGCGATCCCGCCGGAGATTACCAGAATTGGGAGCACACTGCGCCTCATCTGTTCTTCAGTGCGACAAGATTAGGAAACCTTCAGCAACTCTGTGCGCGCTTCAGGGCGGGGCTCTGCCATGTAGTCCACATCAAGACCCAACTTCTGGCCTTCTTTCCTCGGATTGGCGGCTGCTGATTGCTAGATTTGCTACTGTCCCCTGATGTCTCCTGTCCTTGCTCCAGGCATGCTTGCCCACTGCTTGCCTATCATCTCCTATCAATGTCATCTTTCACACGGCGCTGACTCCAAGACTGCGCAAAAGTTACCCCTCCCAGTTCTGCCGCTCTGATCATGCTGCCCGCTGCAAGTCATGGTCTGAGAACACAGCTTCACCAGCCGCACTTTGTACATCCGTTCCTGTGCAAGACTCCGCAAGATGCTTGAAGCCGTATCGAATATGGCGCAAGTATTCGGCTGTTTTGCCGGCTGCACCCAAACCATCCCCCAAAAAAAAAATCCAAATCGTCCACTGCATGGCATGCTCCGAAGCTTGGCCTGTGCCGTGTTGCCACCAGACACGGTCGGCACGTCCTGATCGCACAGATTTGGATAAAGCTCTGCGTAGTGTGCAAGGTTTGTGTGCCAAGCCATTATGTTACATGCAAGAATGAGACACTCACGAGCGCTGACTTGCCAGGGCTGGCTGGCCAGGATTCCTGCAATTGCTTCGAGCACATTGCGGGCCAGCAGGAAGTTGCACAAACTTTGTAAGTCTGCTGTAAATTTGCCAAGTGCACACGCTGGCATGCGAACTGCGTCTGCTACTACAAATGGTGCTCAATCACCGCGCTCCATAGCTGGCATGGCTTCGGCAGCAGCATCTGGGCTGGTGTCGGAAGATTGGCAGCACCTAGACAACAGGAAGAAGAAATCATTACAAACAAGCTTCCTTAACAGCTAAGCCTAATCCATCGGACACATGCCCCACACACCTATTTGCATGCGAACAACTCGACCTTGCCCACGTAGCGTGGAAAGAGGAGAGACTTGATTGATGTAGGACGTGAGCGAAACCTGGTTTATATGGACCACGATCAATGTGGTGAGCTTGGCCAAGTGCTCATCACTGTTGTGCTGCTCTGTGCGTCGTAGAGGCTGTTCAATCTTTCACGGATGCTGCTCTCACCACCACCCTGACATGCTGTGCAAAACATGTCTCTCATGCTCCACCCTGAGCTGCCCTGCAAGGTTTCGCATGTCGAATGGGCTTTCCTTAAGCATCATTTCCTACGAAAAAGTCGGTCGGGAGATGCATGAAGACGGGACAGCTCCTCACAGATGGCCTGGTCCAGAGTGTCCAGCTTCTGCTCTGCACGAAAAGGAAAGAACAACGGACGCAGCCCATACGGACCCGAACTTCGGGCAGCAGGGATTCCCCTGCCCCCCACCCCCCCCCCCACTCATTTGGCAGCAGTCAAAATTTAATGCGGCTTGATGTAATGCAGTTCTGCTAGGGCGCAGCTCAGGCAGAAGGAGGATAACCAAAAACACGCCGTCTCTTCAAGATCTTGACAGTGCCTATACTTGATTGTGACATGGCCTCGGTCGCTTGAATAATTGTTGCACCCCAAAAAGTCCCAAAAGCTCTACAACATTCTACAACTAGCTTGTCACCTCAAGATGCAGTACCCAGGCTTGTATCAAACCCTGCGTCCCAAACCTCCTCGTCCTCACCCCGGAACCGGTACAGACCGATGGAACCGACCCAAATGCCACGGGCTTGGGAATGCTAGCAGGAGCTACTAGCTATCGGACCTACAAGATTTTTCTGTGGAGGTCGGAATCGACTCACACTTCGACAAGAAGTCGCGTGGCCGTTCGTGAGACATTACAGAATCAAGTCCTCCCGTGCCGCTTAGAATTCTTTCAAGCGACAGGCATTCTTCCTCACACGATCTCAAGCGATCTCACGCATCTTGCAGCACACACTGCTTGGAGTAACACATCTGCAAGAGGCACGTCCATGCGGAAGCCTTGCAAGCGATCCCGAACATATGCTGTGTTGTACCACGCAACTCTCTCATCGGTGTTTTCTTCGAGGCTTCTGCCACGAAGTGGACGATGACTGGTTGGAGCTGCTGGAACTGATTTCTGCACTTGTTTTTGCGTGGCTTCTCTACGGCCATTGGATGCCATCAGTGGCGGTCATTGGGCATCACACTCAACTGCAAACATGGGAATCCTGGCAAAAGGATCAAGATGTGTTTTGTCAACTAGGTTCTTGTGAGGCAATCGGCAGCAATCGTTCAAGCATCAAGCTGAATTGCGCTCCAAGGGTTGGAGCGAAATTTGTGGTGAGATACCTTCGTGCCCACAGGGCACAAACGATCGCAAACAAGTGGAGAGGGCTGCATTGCTCGTATGTGTGCTAGAATGGACGGCAGTCCACCGAAAGGGTTCAGCAAGTTTGCCGTGACCAGAAGGTGCCCATCCCGGAACACAGTTGGTCATGGCCGAAGCTGGAATGCGTGAAGTGTTGCAACATGACTGACATAGCCCAATGCATGAGTACACTGCGTTCTCATCTTCCTGCCAAAGGGGGGTCGCTGGGCTAGCTTTCTAACCTGTCCATGCAACGCTTGCTTATGGGATCTGGCAGAAGTCCAGCATGTTCCCACCCCTGCAAGAATTGCCCTTTGGGGTGACCACATCCCAAGGTAATCTGGCTGGTTACACACACATGCAGCCGACAATGCTGCGACAAGAGAGTATTGCTCGAAACCATGGCACAAGCACTTGCGCAAAGGCCACGGCTGTGTGTTCCCCATTGATGGTCCGGCCCGCCGCAAAGGGGTTCCTTCGCAGCATGAATGTGTAAGAGGTCACCTTCTAGATACCACGAACACAGCACAAGAAGCAAGATACATCAAGACATGCCGGTCAAGCGGGCGCGAGGACAACGCTAAATCAAAGATGTGCTACCAATGGCTTGAGTCCAAGAATTCGAGCAGCCCCCGTGAACACCTTGCAGTAAACATGCTGATGGAATGTCAAGAATGCCGCAGGGCTTCAACAATACAATCAAGCTCCACGCATGAATTTGCACTGGGAGATATTTCAATCACTCAGCACTGTGCGCTTGGCTTGTGGAGTTTTGCCGGTCATCCGTGTGCATCAATTCGGGAAGGAGGCCGCCGCCCAATGAAATAACAAATATCAACCCCGTGGTGCACTTCGAATATCAGTGACATCATGGTGTTAAGCACATCCCACTCGGCTTAGCAAACGATTGCCAGGCGCAGGGTAATTCACGACGCGTTACACTACTTACTCATGTGGGGTCACGGCTCCAATGGCTCCACTATATACTTCGCCTTTGCTGAAGTCCGGTGCCAGTCCGGTGCCACACACCCCAAACCATGCGAAGCTGCGCAGCAATGTGACCTGCCCAGTTCCCTAAGCACACCTCGGGCTAGCAATAGTCACAATGGTCATGATCCGTCTGACCGCCTCCTTCCCGTGCTGGGGTGACATGACCCAAGCTGCAAGGAAAACTATCTGCTGGCTTCACGAGATGCCTGCGAGTGCAGCCGCAAGGTTGCAGCGCTTCTTTTCGCACCTGTCGAGTAAGTCCACAACCGCTGTTGAAGACGTTCGCAGGCCTTTTGGAATTCAACTCGAAAAAGATTTGATGCAAGGCAAGAGCTTGCTTGCTGAGCTGCATGCGCATTCCGCTACATTGTTACTATGTCACCAAGCTTCCCACAAACTCGCTAACCGCAGACCGGAAGCCGCTGACCAAGTTCTCCCTTGTCACATACCGTTATGTGCCTTGGGAGCAAAGATGTCTCTGATGTGCTGCGTGTCCTTGTCCCCATCCTGCTCGCACATGTCTCATTGATCTCGACGGTCCCAGTGAAGAAACCAACACATCATGAAGGGAGGCCGGATGTGTCATTTTTTCTGTGAGGGTGCTGCGTTTTTTGCTGTAGGGGCCGGGCACCTTTTTTTTTGTGGCGGTCGGGTGTGCTTCTTTGCTGTCGAGTTCAGGCGGGTTCTGCTGCTGTGGAGGCCGGGCATGTTTTCCTGCAGAAGCCGGGCGCTTTCTCTTTGTTTGGCTGTGCGGGCAGGGCGCATTTCCGTGGGTGTGAAGGGCATGACTTCTTTCGTTGCTGAGGAGGGCGCTTCTTTTTGCTCCGGATGCCAGGCTAAAGGCAAAGCAAAACAAAATGAGGCTCTTCTCTTCGAGGATGTCTATATAAGCATCCTTGTTTCCTAAGTGCATGCACTCTTAAACGAGTTCTTGTTGACGTTTTGTTGCGAAGTGGGGCGAACTCTTGCCATTCACCATCGCCCTTTCAAGCTCTTGCTCGAGCGCCTAAGGGCATGTGTGTCCAAGGCAATTACTGCCCGTACAGGCTTTTGATGGGGAGACGTGCGTTTGATTGATTATTGAAGCATTGTTGTTGCCTAGCGCTCGCCGAAAAGCCAAGACATAAAGGCACAGTATCTGCACCACCCTTCCTTCGTACACACACACACACACACGCACCGAAAACCGACAAAAACAGGGTAGTAAAGCATTCGCACTACCCTTCCTGTATACAGAAGGCTGCACTTGCGTAAATTCCTTTGGACCAGCTTTAAGAGTCGGGCTACAACCCTAGTGTACATGTTTGGGCAGCTAGCTATTTCGGGTGTTTGTCTTTGATTATATTTAGTTTCAACCACTAAATTAAAAATCAGACCTCACCATATCGAGTGGCGACATGGGTCTGCAGCTGCAAGTGCTAAATCAATTTTGAAACATGCCCCGTCAATTAGATCTAATGGCGTTCGTTCAGTCAAGCTCTCACCAAACTTGAGCCGTAACCTCCTTTTGTGGACGGTCCTCCAAGCGATCCCGGCAAGGGGGCGGGGGCAAAGGGGGCGGGGGTAGGAGAGGGCGGGGAGGGGGGGAGGGGGGCGGGCGGGGTTGTGCCTCCACTAGGAATTGCGACATTTGGGGGCACTTCCACGTTGCCACAATAGTTCTCAACTTGTGATTCCAGATTCCATTCTGTTCCGGTCCTTGCTGTTCTCGCAAAATGATACTGGCACCACCGTGCGTGACACGAGCATGCAGCGTGAAGTCGATTAGCGACCCAAGTGCTGATCTTAAATCTGCATCTTCATCTTCAAAGTCATACATAAGTAAGTGCATCAAGCACGAACAGCGCTCCAAAATACGTGCTCTCAGAGAAGCAGTGAGATAAGCCTTGGCATGGGCAACGAGTCCTCCACCAATCTCCGCGACACATCGGGCACCCAACCCATCCCAACACCAACGACGGCCCTCAGATGGACAGATATCACGGATGCAAAACTTATTGCACATCATTGCAGATCATCGCAAATCCCTGCCGCGCCTGTTCGCCAGGTCCGTCGTCATGCCTTTCCTCCACCACTGCCCGCCTTCAATAGCTCAACATGACCCAACATTCGTGGGTTTATCAGTGCAGGTATGTGCAGCTGTCTGGTGTCTTGGAGGCGCTAGAGGCTAGGCAATGCTTGGCAGTGCTCGGCAATGGGGGACCTGAGCACGTCCATGTGTGTCCGATGCGGGAAAGCCGGCCCAGAACTCCATAACCATGAAGGGAACAGTGAGCCTCATCTGACTCATCTGTCAACGACTTGCGCGGAAGTTGTTCGCTGCGTGAGATCTGACCACAAAGCTGACCATGTCTGCCTGGAGATGCAGGCTGCGATGATCTGAGTTGGCAACGTACCCGTCCAAACACCACATCTGCTCAGTCTGGCATCCATCACTGCACATCACTGCACATCACTGCACATCACTGCACATCACTGCACAAAATACTTGTTCGCAAGCAGCCCTGTGGAGAGCCGAGCCGAAGCTCGGGAAAGCTTGGCGCATCTGGCAC